TGCGCATGGCAAACATGTTACTAGCTAAATATATGACAAAACCATAATTTACAAACTTTAAATAATTTTTTACACACATATGTGTGTATATATAATTTACATATTTAATCTAAAGACAGACAGACAGACGGACAGATAGACAGACACAGACAGATAGACAGACATAGATAGATAGATAGATAGATAGTTGGATGGATGGATAGATAGATTCAAAAAAAATTGGGGGGGGATTAATATCAATATAGTATTATTAATAATCTAATACAATGTGTATTTATATTTTATTCGTATTAAAGTATAAAACAATATCTTAATATTTTTCATATAATTTATTATTAATATAAACTTCATTACTTTATTATTGCTCTATTAATACTTGCAAGCATGTAATCATTCCAATTAATTATATGTGAATTATGTCGGCAGAAATGTTTGCTTCAAATTTCAAAGTATTTCAACAGTTTCATCATACACTGTAAAAAAAATTCCATAAAATTTACGGTAAAAAAACGGCAGCTGTGGTTGCCGGAATTTTACTGTAAAAAATACGGTAGCAACGTTTTAGGTTTTACGGTTTTAACTTAAATTTACAGTTAAATACCGTAATTTCATTAACTGATATAATGTTAATATACCAACCTATTGAAGCACTGAAATCTGTTTTGTACCTTTGTAATACAGATAACCACCAAATGCAGGTGGTGATGAGAAAGTCACATGATGAACCAAAGCCCATCACAAGCAGCTTTTATATAATAACATATATAGAAGGTGCACAGTGTCATTCACACAAATGCTAAACACCATCATGGTAACACACATGAAACTGAAATAATGCAATAAACATTCATTTAACAACATTAGGTGTAACACACAACCCTAATATACAAAACTGATAAGAAAAAACTAAGAAGAAACATAGTTTACAGTCTTTTACCGTTAAATTCACGGTCATTTTTTACAGTGTAGAATTAGCGGCGTTATTTGTGTTTTTCATATAAAATCTCTGTATGTGTGGGTAAAGTGTGACTGTGCAGGAGACCACTTTAAAGTTTTTGAAACAAGTATCACATTTCTGGTTTCATTTTTATTCACATTACTGAAACCACACCAGCACACAATCTATGAATCTTCTCAGCAACATCACCTGTCATTGAATGAGTTCTCATGAATGCCGCCATCAGCACTGCGGCTTCATTCGGACAGTATTTGCTGCCATTCAGAGTTGATGTAAACTCATTCACCATCTCTGAAGGAAGCCAGTCTTCTGGGATTTTCACAGCACATTGTTCTACAGCACCATTTTTGATGTCCATATCAAGCTTAATATTCACATCATCCACCACTAAAGATGTGCAAACACTGAATTTTGGAGTTCTGCCATAAATCCACTCCCATGTCTGCAGGTCCTGTGCCATCTTATGAATGCCAGGCATGAGATATTCATGAGTGGGGTCCACTGGGATGACTGGGCTGTCAAAGCCAAATTCATTATTGTACTGGGAAGCAATAGCATCCATGATAGTATTGGAGTCAAGAGTGGGATCCACATCCAAAAGGTTCCTGACAGGGGAAGGAACGCTTGGGGTAGCATTGCTCTTGATAACTTCAGAAGTGTTACTCTTCAGGACTGAGGACAATACTGAACGGTCAACAGAACACAGTAATGTACAGTGATGATATGCAGAGGTTCTGCCTAATTTCGCAGCAGTGCCTGAAATCTTGTGATGGCCATTTAACAAAATATCAAACCTGTCTGTTGCTGCGACATCTAGATCGGGTCTCAGTGTCTTTAATGCACTAGTAACGACTTTGAGATTTCTGTGACGGTCGTATTTCTTCTTGGAGGTGAAGAAGGTCATGTTGATGTTTCCAAAATCATGGTAAACCGTCCCGCCTCCACTGCGACGCCTCGCTAGCGGGATCCCCAAGCGTCTCATCAATGGCAGGTTACACTCCTGCCAGGGGTTTTGATGCCTTCCTATGACAACCACGGGCGAATTTCTCCATAATAACAGCACGCTTCTGTTTTGCAGATCAACGTGATCGTGAATCCAGTCTTCTAAGGCCAGGTTCTCAAATATGCCAGTTGACGCAGATTTTAGGATGATACCAGCTTTTCCCATCTCATCGAAGAAGGTTGACAAAGTGCTTTTGAGACGAGCTGATCCAGAGAGGACGCATGCCCTGCTTGACAGTCTCAAAATCATCGCTGACTTTTAAACTTTCGGAAAGTCTGTAAGGCACTAATACACCACTGATTATTAATTTCTGCTGTGTGTAGCGAAAACGTTTGGACAATAATGCACATGAAATCCCGATCTACACAGTTTATGCACTGTCTATTTCCACGCATGCAGCAGCTGAACCATAGACTGTAAAAAAGCTGAACATTAGCATCAACAACCGGGTCGACACGATCCCATTTCCTAACAAAGCATAATAAAAGTCTTGCACGAAGCAAAATTGAGTCGAATTTTAAATATATGCAATAAGTACAAAATAAAAGAATATGTCACGACGACATAAAAACACAAAAAGTTGTAATGTCTTTATAATTGAATAGAGTACAAAAATGTAATAGTGGTGCATTTATTTTGACATGTTCTAGAAGCAGGCGTTTGATTTGTTGTTGTTCAAAGTGCTACCAGTTGCCAATTTAGCAATTTTGTTGCTAAATTTAGCAACTTTTCAGACTACCCTAGCAACTTTTTCTTCCAAAAGCACCTAGCAACAAATTTAGCTATTTTTTAAAATTTATTTGGCAGCTTTTAGCAACGTTTGATAAGTGACTCAAATGATAAAAAGGCACAATTTACCATTTAAATTACACAAAAAGAGGAAACCAAAGATGCCTAGCAGTACACACGTTACAGGAATTAAGTTAGCTGCTATTTGCAATTGTTTAATTTAATAGTAATAATAATAATAATTGAATACTGTTATTTTTCATCTATGAGACACTTTGTTAGTAGCTTGTACCTGTGATTGTTGATGAGTTAGTACACTGTAAGAAAAATATGCAGAAAAATGGAAAAGGTGCTAGTAACTTTCCAGGACATTATCCATTATAACCCGAAAACACAAAATACAATGCGTAATTAAAAATGCAGGTACAAAAACCTGCTTTAGCAACTTCCCCTGAAAATTAGTTGGCAACACTGAGTGCTACTCAGATTTGTGCGTCTCACCGTCTCATTTTACCTAAAAAAACATCTGCGGGTTCTAACTGTGTTCGGAGAGCTACGATTATCACATTTAAATTCTATTAAATATGGTTATAATCAGGGATTAAAATTAACTTTTTTACTCACCAGCCAATTTGGCTACTAAATTTTTAAGTTACCGGCCATTCATAACTTCTACCAGTGTTTATAAGCAACACAGCACGCGAGTGAGAATAACGCGATATCCGCCTTCGATCTCGTTGGTAGCTGCTCCACTTCGAGAGGTCAGAACTGTCCGTCTTGACTGCGCTTATTTCACTCCTCCCCTCACTGCAGCCGCCTGCTCTCGCCAACATTTTAGGCAAGGCGAGGCGCATCTCAAACAAGCCTACTGTTAAGTGAGTCATTGCGAATGAACCGAATCATTTAAACGGTTGATTTTGCTCAGAGACACAAAACAGCGCTGTGTTTGGAATGTTTTCTGTTGGCGAAATAACACAAAAACAGCCAATATGGTGTCTAAAACGTAAGTCTCTTGATATTAACTTATTGATTATTGAACTGCTGTATAAAATCAATATCACATTTGTAACCATGCTGATTTTTTTTTAAACGGCACACTTCGTGTGATATTAACTATATGAATTGATATAAATATATAAATTTTCCAACCCCCTTATCTTGAATTATGTGATCATTCGTAATGCATATTAACAGACCGAATCATGCAATGAAAGAATGCACTCTAAATGCGCACAGCACAAGTTAGTCTAACCAGACTACATCACGTCGCGTATGCGTGCACTTTGTAACTTAGGTGTGTTTTGTTTGGTTTTTGCAATATACTCGATAATGTCATGATGTCTCACGAGTTCAGTATTTGCGCTAAACCTGCACAGATTTGGCTTGCATGATTTGACAGCGTTACCCGCCACAGCTGATTTTTACCCGCATTTGGCGGGTTGGCGGGTGTTAATTTCAAACCCTGGTTATAATACTTCTACATTTAGAATCACAAAAACCCTCATTTGGTGTCTGTCTCACTGTAAGCAAGCAGTGTGTGTTTAAAGATCACCACTAGGTGGTACTAGATCATTCCTAATGCATAATGTAGTTTGACGGCTGTAATGTGATCACTACAAAATCCGTTACTTCTCTCCGGGTGGTTAATGATTGAGATTCAGAATGAGTTTACGAAATTACTAAATTCAATCAGCATGAAAGCATTTTGGTAAATGATGTGCATTCTGATCAGTTAACTCGTATCGTACCCGCGTCCCCTTAAGTTAATATCTGACTTATTCAGACAATTTGATCTTCCTTGAAACAAACTGCTCTTATCTCAGCTCGGTTCCTGGCATAGATCAGAGTTAGTGATATATATTACCTTAAATTTAGATTTTGCTTTTCTATAAGCTTGCTTATATGTAGGATGGTTCCTGAATTGCTACTTTGACCTTATTACTTCACACCATATGTTGTAAATATTACAACCGTGAGTTATAATTGTATATTAGTTAATCATATTTCTTCAATAGAAGACTCAGTAAATCATGTAGTATGGTTTGTACAGTCTAAAAAGCTGCAAATAGGCTAATAAAATCTTAACTTTTTAAATAAGTAAAAATTTCAAGTGTTTCTGCAATGACTAAATCATAAAACACATAAACTATGTCATGAATTTATGTCAGTAAGTTAAAGAATAAGAATGTTTTGTAAAAAACAACAACAGCGGGGAGGGAATCCGTAAAAGAAAATTGTCTGAAATCTGATTGGTCGGTTTGTCATCTCTGATTGGTTGTTGCACTAACTGGGCGGAGTCTACGCAGAGCTCTGAGCGGATATTTCCGGTTATGACCGTTGTTTGACAGATCAGGACGGACCGTCGCTTTCAGGTATGGTTATCATCCAAACATTATGTACAGTTTACTGGTTATCTGGATTATGTGAGAGAACAGTGTATATTTGGTGTTAGTTTAGAGTGTGTGTACCGTGAGTGTTTCCCGGTCGAGGCCGTAGATGGTGCGTTGTGTTGATCTGCGGAGGTCACCGCACAGCATCACCGCCAACAGCAGCCCGCCGGCCGGACCACTTTACAGCACTGAATACAGAGAGAAAACATCGGCTGAGTCATGGCCTTCAATAACGGACAGATATGGATTTTTTTTTTTTTTTAATGCATATTGGTTTAGCTGTCATCTGGGCTTGTTTGCTGACATGTTTGAACCCATGATCAGCTGAGACATCCATGTGATGCTCTTTCAGTATAACTACTAGCAACTCATGAGGTGTGCTGCGTGCATATCACATAGTGGTGGTGATCAGCATAAATGATGTTTCATGGATTCTGGCTTCTCGAGTATAATGTGCTTTAGCAGCTTGTGGCTACAGCATGTGATAGTCTTTGGGCAGTGGAAGATACAAAGATCTGTATGCTGGACAAGCGGGCACTTTAGTGTCCCATTACTGAGCCAAGGTACTAATTTGGCTAGCTGTCCATTTACTATTAGATAAGTTAGACAAAGTATTTATAAAATGAATGTAGCTAGTTTTAAAGACACCAAATGTTGGCATCATTCGTTAAAATGGTGGTTTGTGGTCCATCACACCTCAGACAGCTTGGCCTTCTTGACTGTATCTGTTGTTTATTAAAATCATACTCTCACAATTTTGTCATAATAGGCTGAATTGATGTTAGATTAGCTAATTTGAATAACAAAAACATAAGTCCCGCTTTTAAGGACAGGACAGACTTTTTTTGTCAGGTCAGCCATTCAAGCATTTTTTTTTTTTTTACAGAGACACCAAAATCAAAATGAACGTTTTAGTTTAGCCCCCCCAAAAAAAACAAAAATTAGGGTAATTGGGTGACTGAACTCTGTATGCCGTTCAGGGTGTCATGTACAGCTGAACACATTTTAGATAATTCTGCTATGGAATTATTTGTGGTCATGGTGAAGTTTGTACACACACTGCTGATATGTTTACCTGTTGTAGCTTATACACCTCATGTGTAAAAAAATGTACACTGACTGACACAGTCAAAACACTATCTGAGAAGCACCAATTTTTCAGTCAGTGGTTTTTGCCCTCCAAAACTATCTTGGCTGAAACTGAAAAATCTTTTTTTTTTCTCGCTGTTTTGGCTGAACATTTTAGGTTGTTGATTTTTTTTTTAGGTTGTCAAAGTTGGCAACTGGTAACCTTTTTGAAGATTAAATAAATGAAAATTCTGTAATCATTTACTCATCCTTCTTCTATCTTCTGCTGAACATAAAAGAATATACTTTGAACAATGTTGGTAACCAAAGAGTTGCCGATCCTTGCTGACTTCCATTATATGGAGAAAAAAAAATACTATGGACGGCAATGGGGACCAGAAACTGTTTGGTTACCAACATTTTTCAAAATATCTTCTTTTGTGTTCAACAGAAGAAAGAAACTCATAGGGCTGCAC